TATCGATTCTTTCGTCCCGGTAACAAGTTGGGATTCCATTTAATCAGCTCGTAATCATCGGTTTAACCTGCGTGACGGACTGTGTGGGAGAGAAACCCGAGGGGAGAGACAGTTTTGGGTCTCTCCTTCCGTCGAGGAAAAGGCGACGTTCCGACGCCGCTTCCGCATTTTAAGCGGGAACCCTCCTACCCCGGAAAATCGTATACCGTATCAATAAGTTTCCCTTTTTGTCTCCGGAAAGGACGGGATCGGACGGCAGCAGCGGCAGGGTTCGTCGAATATAAACGATGCGATAAAATTGTCGTGCAGGGAATGTTCAATGAATTACCAAATCGATAGATGATAACCTGAAGAACCTCGCAAAAACCTTATAAAAGACAGACAAGTTGAAAACTTTAAAGAATTCAAATTTTTATGCCTTTTCTTAATCATTTTTAAATATAAAAATGTCAACATTAAAGGTATTTACTACATTTGGGTTTAGTCGTGCACCTGAAGACGCACAGCTAAACCCGAAACTTTCAAATTTTAGATCTAGTGTTAGTTCTAGTTTTATTAGTAATTCAGCGTTAGAGTGTTGTATATTTTTAATTGAACTTAAACATAAATATAGTTAAATAAATAAAGGTTACATTTTTAGTATCAATATGTCATGTACAAGCCGAGGCAGCTATGCTGCCGAGGCAATGGTTTAATACTTAAAGAGCAATAAATAAAAATTATATTTTCAATATCAACGTATTATTTACAAGCCGAGATAGCTCTGCTGTCGATATGACATTTATAAGCCGAGGCAGCTGTGTTGCTGAGGCAGTGGCTCAATTATTACTAATTATTGTATCAATTATAAGCCGAAGCAGCTACGCTGCCGAGGTTGTGACTCAAGACTTAGAAAACAATGTATAAAGATTGTGTTTCCACTGTTAATATGACATCTATTAGCCGAGGTAGCTGTGGTGCTAAAGCAGTGGCTTAAGACTTAAAAAACAATGTATAATGATTGTATGTGCACTGTTGATATGACATTTATAAGCTGAGGCAGTGGCTTAATTATTACTTGTTATTGTATCAATTATAAGTCGAAGTAGCTGCGCTGTCGAGGTTGTGGTTCAAGACTTAGAAAACAATGTATAAAGGTTGTGTTTCCACTATTAATATGACATCTATTAGCCGAGGTAGCTGTGCTGTTAAAGCAGTGGCTTAAGACTTAAAAAACAATGTATAATGATTGTATGTGCGCTGTTGATATGACATTTATAAGCTGAGGCAGTGGCTCAATTATTACTTGTTATTGTATCAATTATAAGCCGAAGTAGCTGCGTTGCCGAGGTTGTGGTTCAAGACTTAGAAAACAATGTATAAAAGTTGTGTTTCCACTGTTAATCCTCAATTGACCAACCAAAAGTTGCATGCTATCTGACCAACCGATCTAGTGCAAAACTAGAAGTAACACTAGAGAAAACTTTGAGAAATTAGCACTGGTTTAAATGTTAATTAACCTAACTCAAAGTGGAACTTCTACACAAAATTCTGAAATAAATCAGTAAATTAAGGCGTCAGGTATAGATTTTAATCGTTGTGCGTCGAAAACCTAAGAAACAATTGTATTTCACCAGAAAATATACGTTTTAGCTAATGGTGGAACGGATATCCGGCAACTATCCCAAAGTGTTAATAAAAGTGTCCCCTTTCCAATGAACCAACATGTTTTGAAAAATAACATTTAGTTTTTCAGAAAACAATATTTGAAGTTTTGATAAAATTTTCGATGTTGCAATTTTCATCGACATCTTTCAAAATTCGCTATAAAATTTATTTCTTGGAGGATCGTTGTGGAAATATCACCAATTATTAAATAAATTATCCTCTTTTTAATGCAAAAAGCCATTTTGAAAAATCACTTTCAGTTCTTGAGAAATAAATTTTTGAAATGATCGACAATTTTTTTGAATTTTGCAATTTTCGCCGATTAAGTTTTAAAAATTCGTATAAAATCCAGTTCTTGGAATATGAGTATGAAAATTTCCCAAAGTGTTAATAAAAGTGTCCTCTTTCCAATGAACCAACCCGTTTTGAAAAATAACTTTTAGTTTTTGAGAAAACAGTATTTGAAGTTTTGAAAAAATTTTCGATGTTGTAATTTTCATTGATATCTTTCAAAATTCGCTATAAAATTAATTTCCTAAAGGATCCTTGATCCAATTATTAATTAACGTATCATCTTTTGAGAGTTGCCTCGTTAGTTAAATCAGCATCAAAAAAGTTTTGTATCTTGGATCCAAATAAGTTGACATATCTTGTCGACTTTCTTATTAATTTCATTTTTATTCAAATATCGCAATAAAGTGGGAATATCACTTCAGAAATTCACCAGAAATTATAACCATAATGGCCAAATAGATATGCCGGATAACCGGATATCCGGCCGAAAGGGATGCCGAATATCCAGTATCCGGCTTTTTTTCGGGTTCCCGTATGTTTCTAGTTCTAGATCTAGAGTTAGCTATAGTATTAGTGAAGTTGAATTTGGGTTGTTCTTGCTTGGTTGGGTTGGGTTGGTTTAATTGTGAGGATTCCCATAACACTTTGCGGAAGTTGCAGAATATGAAAATATTCTCAAGATACGTTTTTCCGCCGTATCCATTTTTTTGATATCACTGCACTAGTGACAGATTTAAACGAGAATAATAGATGTCCTAAGCATGTTGTTTATGAACAAGATGAAGAGATGACTACTTCATTAAAAATTATCGGAAAAATTGTTGGATTCATAACCAAATTAGGGATTGTCACTCTTCTAGAGATGAATCCTTGAGTTTAATTTTTATGTTTGATGAGTGCAGGAAAAAGTTTTAATTTGGCACAAAGCGCAATTCTTATGATACTTGGAATGAATTTCCTATAGAATTCCTTCATTCCGATGAATGTCATTTAAAAAACTGATCCATCGTATCCAAAAATCAAATTAATCCAATATAATGAAAAATATGATTGCTGGAATTTGCAATAATTTATCCAAAGGCAACTTCCTCTTGTCTAGATTGGTTCATTTAAGAATTTGTTGGATTTGAGTAAGAAAGTGAAAATTACTACAAAAAGCAGTAAATAACTACACCGCATTGGAGTCTAATTTAATCTAAAAGTGGGGTTGGCGACAGTTTTTGTGTCTAAATGCGCATAACTTGCTCCAATTGTTTTAAATTTGATCATCACTCTAGTACATCTATCCTTAAAAAAAAACAGTATCCATAGTTGTATCATTGGTTGGATATAGCTTCAAAATGTGGAGGAAGAGTTTCGCTTGATTTTGTTTTCCCTCATGACAAAAGAAATTCAAAATTTTGCAATTTCTCAAAAATATCTTATTCCAAGCATCGTTAGTATTTTTTGTCGCGTAGTAGTTCAGATTTCCTTCTATTTTAGCAGTTACTGATAAGAATGAGACTTGGATCAAACAATCCTTTTCAAATTGCCACATTTAATTGATGTATGAGTCATTCCATGTTTTGTTTATTCCTAAAAAGGATGGATGTCATGATTTCTGATAGATAGCTTTCTTAGCTGAATGGGAATTTCTGGATTCTTTGTCGGTTAAGATACATTTTCATAAAAAATACGAATGCTTCAAAGAGAACGCTCAAGACAAAGATCAGAAATATAATAACATTTTTGAGAATGTTGTGATTCCATCCGTCTTAAAGACAACAATAATACGAACCGTTGAATTCAGAAGTTGTTTTTAGTCAACAACGAGATGAAATGGCGAACTCGGAAACCATTCAGGATGGAATTTATCGGGCGTTTCCAGTTAACGATGAGGTCGTCAATCAATTAAAGTTTGATTTGATATATTTGTATTATTACTATATTACTCTAACAAATGGTTTAATACGTCTATTTATTATTTTGTATTTAGTCAATGAGATTTTAGCTAAAAGAGATTAGATATGATGCACAAATGCTTGATAATCTGAATTAATTAGTCTCAAAGTCTTAGTCAAAAACATCTCTCATTATTTCCACTAACTGATATGGAAAGAAATATTTCCTGTGACCAATGGTTTAGATGTGCTAAATTGGTCAAAAACTTCTCAAAGATCATAAACTAACCTATTTGAGAAGTATCAGAAAAAAGAGACTTATTTCATTTAGAATCTTTGGGTTCGAAGAGAAAATCACTCTAGTGCCATATGTTCTAAAAAGGATAAAAATGTCATTATGATTCCAAGTTTCCAAGACAATGATACTATTGATGAAAATTCAGGAAGAAGCAAGAAAATAAAAGAGCATCTAAATCAACGATCGTTAATAACAAATATTCCTCACAACGTTAGGCGAATAATTCAGGAAAATTTATCTATATATTATCTACCAAGATAATACACAGAATGAAAATATTTTGTGTATACTGTTTTTGGTATAAAGATTCATAATTTAATAAAAATATTATGTACTTAAGAAATAAGTACTAAAATATAACAACCCCAAAACACTCTTTCTGAATAACTCATCTTAATTACTGATGATTTCAAAGACTACAAACCCATTCTCATAAATTCTCATTAAAATAAAACTTCCCTAACGTAGTGCAATCTTATCTTAGAACAAAAAAAAGAAAAAAAGAACGAACCAACGAAATGCGGGGAAAAGAGTGAAGGAACGAAAAGAGCGGGGAAAAAGGCACCAGGAGCATTTTACTGAAAAATCCATATCGTTTTTGTTTTCGGGCATAAAGACGCGCTAGGGATGGGAAGCAAGGGAAAGGGGCGGGTTGCCATGGAAATTTGCATGCGTCCAATAAAACCATCGGGCGCAAGACAAGACACCGACTAAATGGGGGCCCCCTCCGTTGGGGGAACCTCGTTTGCCACTGCGCCCTTTTATAAATACTCCTTCTTTTATAAATACTGCGATGCCTCCCTCTTTTTTGTAATTTCACCGGTTTCGTTATTTATTTCTTAATTCCCACCACCATAAAAAAAAATCAAAATCATACTTACGCTGGGTATGTTGTCGTTGGTACAAACACCTTCTTGTAACAATCTATCCCGGATCTCCCACGCGAATATGGAAGGACATTCTCTCTTGTATGCTGAGATCTTGGATACAACTTCCGCCGTCGCCACTCTAGGTTTTGAACCACCGATTGCTCTAGGTCTTATGGAGCCGGTCTCGTAGTACCTAAAAGATGTAACAAAATAATTTTTGTTTTGATTAAATTTGGGAGGAATTTTCTTACCTTCCAAGAATTTTTGAAACACACCCGTTGGAAACTTGTAGAATCCTGGAGATGTCGCAAGGTCTAGCTCCAGAATGGGCCAGCTCCACGATCTTCTGCCGCGTGGAGTCAGGCAAAGGTCGACCACTGACGAAAACCCCCCCTAGCTGATTCACACCGCTATGACCTGATCACAGTATCACAGTTTTACTATTTATTTAGTGGTCATTAAATAAAGAATAGATTCAAATTGGCAAATTCAAAAAAATTAACATTTTTGCCAATTTCGATCTTTCAATATTTATCTTGCAGTATACTGTGCTAATCATTCAAAACGGTGTGACGAATGAGCTAAAGAATGAGATCGTCATCTGACCACACCTTGCACTTGATAACGGGGCCACCCATCAGACTCAGGCCAAAATCGCAGTCTTTAAATTTTGATACAAAATAATATTTGTCTCAACATAATTTTGTATATATATTAACTGGTGCCTCATCCGATGGTGGCCTCGTTGTTTCTGCTACAAAACCTACAACTGACCAATAACAAGCACAACAAAAAAAAAATAAAAATTCATAAAACAAATTATAAAGTCGTCCTAAAAACCGAAAATATTTGTAATCATTTCTTTTAAGTACTTGGTTAATTAATCACGATGAGTTCTTTAGCCATCGAATCGTTGCAAAACAAAAAATTGCCTCTTATAAGCAACGACAAAATCGATCCAACTTTTTGCCGACAAACGCACTTGCCCACAAGAGTGGATCATTTGCATATAACATTGCCAAGGTCACGTACTGGAATCGCCCGGATCTCTTGTTGCCCTTGAAATTTAAAGCTTTAAGAAAAGAAATCGACACCCGACATTTTTCAAAACCACAAAAAAATCTAACAATAAAGTTATAACGATTGAAAAAGGTTTTAAAGGTATTTGAAAAGATATGTCTCCTTGAAAAGTTGACAAGCATTTTTGAAACTCAATAAAGTAAATATGAAACAATAATTTTAGGTTTTAGAATGATATAATGTTAGGGTTAATGTTATACCAAAGGTTTTGTTAACGTTTAGTTATCATTTGTATTGTGTAAACCGTGGCGGATTTGAGAATTACCCCCTCAGGGCGAAGTTGTTGCTCCGCTGACGCTGACAGAACACGGGATTAGGTCTATTCACCGCACCATCTAAACCTCCCCCTTCAGCTAACTGTGTAACTGTTTAGTGCCACTTATGATATTTGCTCTGTATTGTCATTCATTGTTACAATTATGTTCTCTCCCTTCATGTTTCAGACCGTAACAAATACCTCCTTTTATTAACACCCTTATCAAAAATGTACATAATAATCTCTTATATCTTAATTGAACTATTTGATTATCATTTATATAAGAAGATTTTGTGAGAAAACTGTATGATATAATGTTTCGTATGGATTTTGATTTTTAAGGAAGTCAGTGAATAGAAAAGATTTGGTTGACGTGGATAAACTCAATAAATCTCTGACGATAATAAATTTTATCTCTCCGACATAAAGAGAGGCGTTGAGCCGCCGCGACGCTTGGCATCGCGCGGATAATGCTCACAACAGCGAGGGGGATGGTGCTTTTGTCGGACGACTTCCGCGACCTATCGTGTGACGCGATGAATGAACCGTTGGAGGAATCGAAGTTGGCTAACCTTTCGCCGCCAGATTTCATTTGTCAGCCCTCACACTAAAGAAAACCCTTACATAATACCCTCAAAAACTAAAAATTTCCATATAAACTCTTCAAATCTAACTTTAAGTGTTAAAAATTGTACAAGAAAAATGGTGTGATAAAAATTCGGAATTTTTATGGGTGTTATTTTTATGATCGTGAAACGTGGTAAATATTCATGTTCGGTGTTGGTGTATTTCCGCCCGCGAATGCGATAAGCCCGTCAAATTTTTATTCTCCTTGCATTTTCGGTGATGAAAAGCAAAAGGGACTGACAAGTGAGGGGCTGTTCCGGTAGAAATCCTCGCGCATCAGCGAAATAGGGGAGAGGAATTTCCCGTCAAAAATCGGGAAGGAATGGAAAGAGTAACAAATATTGCCGATACGAATACATTTATGACTTTTTCGCGCTCGTATACGTTTTTATTTAGGTATTTTTTTTTTTTTACTCTCAAATCATTCAATTTTTATCTCTCTTTTAGATTTAAAAGTTAAAAAGAATTCTTAAAAAGAAAGAATTATATATTATTAAATATTTTATGTACTTTTAAACTGACCTTTAATTAAAAGTTTATTAGCCTTACTAGTTTCGGCTTTGTGCCATCTTCAAAGACTATGTCGAAAATATCGTGAAAGTGATTAAAATATATAATATATAGTAAATATACAGGGTGAGTTTTTTTCCATGTTTAGTATGGAGATCTCGAAAACTAGCGACGATAGAGAGACGATTAAATAGGGAAAGAATTGCAGTTTCATGAACACAATTTAATGAGCTTCTTGTTTTTTGGATAAAATGCACGGCTAACTAGATATCTCAAAAAAACCGTTTTTTTGTTATATCGTTCGATATCTATGGCTCCGTTATTATTGATTTTAGGAAAAATGTGTAAAGGTAAAATTTGTAGGGTATTATATGTTTAATAAAGCAGTCTAACTATTTTTTTTATTTAAGCAATAATTTTTGAGTTATGACACAAACTTGTGACATTTCTAATGGAAACCATAGTTGGCCATGACTTTATAAAGAAAGCCTTTTCTCAACGATTCTAATGATATATCACTTGACATAGATATTTTTATTAATAAATAAATTTTAGCCATTTATTCTTTTAATTTGCAAACTATTCAGGTAGTACGCTATGGAAACAATTGATAAATTCATTTGTTTCAAATGTTTCGTTTAGTTTCTAATTAACGTTGATTGAGGTTTTGTAAATTATAATCAATATGAATTTTTCTAATCAAGAAAAGCGTGATATCATTTTATGCTATAAAAATGCAATATAAATTTGATCGTCGCCAGCCTTCTCTATCTACTTTTAAGAGGCTAATAATTTAAACCAACTAAAGATGCAAGACAGAAGTAAATGTATTAGCACGAATCCATCAAAATGCATCGGTTTCAACACAAGTTGCATCTGAAGCAGGCACGTCACAACGTACTGTCGTAAGAGAACTAAAAAAGCATAGATTTCATTCATATAAAATGGCAGTTTCACAAACACTACCTCCAGATGACTACAATAAGCATGTAGAATATTTTGCCTAACTGCAATTTTTTCCCTATTTAATCGTCTCTCTATCTCCGCTAGTTTTCGAGATCTCCATATTAAACATGGAAAAAAAACACCCCGTATACATAGCAAGAAACTTTTCAACTAAAAATTATTGCTGACTTAATTCTAAACAACTATTGTTGGAAACATTTTTTGATTCATCCAATAATTATTAAAATAATCTCAAAAATATCACTTTTATGTCAGCGTTTATCACCATGTAGTGGAGATATCAAAAATTGTTATTAATAACACTAAGAAATCGTATTTTAATACGATTTAGTTTTAATTTGAGGCAATATAACCGTAATTTTGTAAGTATATCATTTTTGTACTATTCAGAGGGAAATTAAGAAGTTTTGATTGTAAGTAAAGAAATAGCAAAAATTTTGGAAAATTTTTCAAATGAAAGTTGTTGCTGATTTTATTCTAAACAAATAATATTTGACACATTTTTTGATTCAACCAATAATTATTGAAATAATCTCAAAAATATCACTTTTTATGTCAGCGTTTATCACCGTGTAGTGGAGATATCAAAAATTGTTATTAATAACACTAAGACATCATATTTTAGTTCGATTTAGCTTTTATTTGAGACAATTTAACCGCGATTTTGAAATTATATCTTTTTTTGTACTATTCAGAGGGAAATTAAGAAATTTTGATTGTAAGTAAAGAAATAGCAAAAATTTTAGAAAATTTTTCAAACAAAAGTTGTTGCTGATTTAATTCTAAACAAATAATGTTTGAGACATTTTTTGATTCCATCAATAATTATTGAGATAATCTCAAAAATATCACTTTTTAGGTCACTGTTTATCGCCATATAGTGAAGATATCAAAAATTGGTATTAATAACACTAAGAAAGCGTATTTTAATACGATTTAGTTTTAATTTGAGGCAATTTAACTGTAATTATATCATTTTTGTACTATTCAGAGGGAAATTAAGAAGTTTATATTGTAAGTAAAGAAATAGCAAAAATTTAGGAAAAGTTTTCAAATAAAAGTTGTTACTGATTTAATTCTAAACAAATAATATTTGATACATTTTTTGATTTAACCAATAATTATTGAAATAATCCCAAAAATATCACTTTTTATATCAGCGTTTATCGCCATATAGTGAAGATATCAAAAATTGTTATTAATAACACTAAGAAAGCGTATTTTAAAATGATTTAGTTTTAATTTGAGGCAATTTAAGCGTAATTTTGTAATTATATCATTTTTGTACTATTCAGAGGGAAATTAAGAAATTTAGATTGTAAGTAAAGAA